TTTTCTTTACTTTGGGCTTGCTTTACTTTTATTGCTTACACTGAGCAATAAAACTCATTTCAGAAGCACAGGAGTAATACTAAAATGCATAATTGACACAATTCCCACAAACTAGCACATGTATTAGATTTTAAACACAACCATTTCGAAGTAATCCATCCAAAATAACCAACATTGCAGTATATGGTAAGTAATCCATATGAATGGTTCAAAAATAGTAAATTTACTAATTGAGCCAGATGACTTTGAAATTGAAGATGGCAATGTAGATATGTCTTTGCCTTCGGAGTATTTTTCATAAGGTTGTCATTCAGGCTACCAGGCCTTGTATCTCTGTACTGTTTACATTTGGCGCACATTTCTCTTTTCCAGTGGCACAGGAATTCCTTGAAAATATTCCTAAATAAGGTCTTTTTTGTGACCTGCACCCATAGCAGTGTTTTTCCCTCCAGCTTCCATGTGTTGAAATCAAGACTAGTCTGTGTTCCACAGAAGGTTGTTTGTTCCTTTTCCTATGCTGTCGTGAGCCCAGTGTTGGTTCTTTCTGTTCTTACTCTGCTCCCTCTCCCTCCTTCACACAAGAAATTAGCAATATACTAAGACTCCTATCTGTGACACAACCTCCCACACCCTTCATCCTCTTTGCTGCTGCTACTCCCCCCCCACCCCAAACAGTCCATGATTCTGCTATTGTAACCTCCTGGACTTTTGTGCTGCAGTATTTTAGTTTACAGAAAGAAAGCACTTGAAGTTTTTTCCATCTCTGTACATATGCAAAGGGACCAAGAAAGGTCATTTAACTGAAGTATCCAGACCCATTCAGAAGTAGGGCTGGTCCCTTGGTTGTTTTTTCCATGAGCTGAGGAATAAGCACAATGGGTGCAGAATCATAACTGAGGGAATGAAACAGGAGCTTGATACCATCCAGGTGGGCTCAGTGGATAATCCTGATCACGGAGTACATGATGGTATCAGGAGCCAAGTTCTAACACCTGTGGACTTTTACTGATGCTTTGCATTCAGTAGGCCCTGTATCCCTTGAAGGGTTAAGTTCCTAATGCATGAAATATTGTCATATTTTTATTATGCTATTAATTGAAAGTACGTGTGGCTAGGTCACTTGCTTTAAGGTATAAGGCCCCTGACGCATTATACTTAAGACACTAACTGGTTAAATTACAAGTATTCCATCTGTTCACTGTAGAGTAAACCAGTGATTCTCAACCAGGGTGCCAGTGCTCAGGCTTGTCAGGCTGAGGCTTATTTCTGCCTGAACGGTCCCCAGCCTCCACTGCCCAACCCCTTTGCAAGGAAGTACTGTACTATATTAACTTGATTTTTGAAAGTGGGTGCCACTCCATTCACAAAATTTATGGAGGGATACTTCAAGTCCAAAAATGTTGAGAACAACTAAAGTAGACACATTCAATTCACAGGATGTCTATGTAACCCCCTCTTCATAAAGAACAGGCAAATTCATGGCAGCATTTGACTAGAGTAAACTAGTCCTAAAACATAAATAAAATTGGTATAACTCCTTAAGTTATGCTGCCTTCAGCCCCATGTTTCCCTTACTCTTAACTAAAGCTTTATCTCAAAAGTATGGCTTCTAAGACATATGCACCTTTTAGTGAACTAATCCCTAGATATTTCCTTGGTTATCTAGACCCTGCTTTAATTTCCATTTTTATTCCGTTTCCTAGGTATGATGCAGAACCAAGTCCTGTAGACCATCAGAAAGCCAACATCCTAAAATTTCAAGTGGATAAAAAGCCTTTCTTTGAGATGCCTTCCCATCTTGCTGATGTAGACTTGGATGAGTATGACTATGAAGAGGACTTTGAGTGACTGCGGTCAACGTTTGCAGAAGAAAAAGGGACAGTCTGCAGCAGGTCTGCCAAACACCTATACAGATTATCAATGTTTTTTGTTTCCTTAGTTCTTTGTTACAAAATATTATTTAATCATTATATTGCCTTTTAAAGAAAATGACGTGCATTTGTATGGAATGATGAAAGTTTTTGTATTTATTCAATAGTCTATAGCTTGTAAAATAGATTAAAATATTTATTTATAGTTGTTGCATAATTTCTTAATGGAAGAGTAAAGATGTTTGAGTTCTTTAAAGTACTCCACGATTTTTTTTTTAAAAAGATGATTATATAATTCTCTAGAGTTTTTATGTAGTGCACTGACCACCTGCATCTTATACTTGTGAATGGAAGTATCTGTTCTGGGATGGGAAATTAGGAGACTGTTTTATAGATGACTTCCAGGGCTCTTTCTCCCATGACAAATCTAGAACTTGGCAAAGAAGAGGGGCATGGCTTTGAATCCAGTGATTCAGCCTGTCAAGTAATAGTGTACTCGGAAGTAACAAGCTGAATATATTTGTGCAATTGATAAACTACTAATGCCTGATCTGAGCTACTCCTCTTCATGTCCACCCCTTTCATTCATCTTGACTTAAACTTTGCCTGTCCTTTCATTGATGTCCACTTACAAAAACATTCTTTAATGCTGAATTCTATTCAAGTATTCATGCTTGATCCCAAATCTGTCTGTTCTTCCAGACAGAAGGAACCAATTTTTAAACCCTTTTGTATAAATGTTACTTGAGTTGTGATGTGCACTAACTTGTGGGCATTCAGTACTTTTGTCTGTTTCTTCCTCTTCAGTTGTTAGCTTATTGACACATTCCATAGAAATTCAGTGTCACAGCAGCTTGAAACTGTTGCCTCACTTGCCTACATGGGGCAAGAGATTGCAAACAAAAATGTTTTGTACATTGTACATGAAAACCTGTTTAATAGTAAATATTGCTGAAAACTTCCCGTATCTAAATTTTCACTTCTGCATTCATGCATTCAGGGCACTACAACCTTAAGATTTTTTTTGAATAACAAAAATATTAACTTGTACAGTAAGCAGTGTAGATCTGTTTTAAAAATCATGTTTGTATTTTCAAATAAAGATTTTCGTACATGTAATCAGTTGGTATTACTGTATTCCTGGCATGCATTTCATACAACAAAATGTCTTACTGTTTAAAGGGGTTTTAAATATTATGGGTGTTAGAAGTATGCATTTTGTCATTTGAATGAACAGTTTGGATAAATTTAGCATATTTGAAACTAATCAGAAACATCCACTGGCTTCTTTGTTTTACTTCCCAAAGATTGCACACTTCTAAGCTGCAGGAAGGGTGCTGTTCCACTCAACTTATGGTCTTGTGCAAGATGCTTAGTAGTTCAAGTCATTTCATGAATGTTACATATTGAAAGTATACACTGCTCAGCATGAGCTGTAGTGTTAATTTCCAGTATCAAAGTGTAATAAGAGAAAATAAGGCTCATTCAAATTGCAAATAGAATCTATAGACCTGAATTTACTGATTTGTTTTTTTGCAAATTATCTGACCTTCCCGTAGACAAACTTAACTTCTGTAATCTTGACTGACTCTTTTGTAGCCACTATCTTAAGCCAAACTTCTCAAGAGAACTTCTGGAGAGGTGAGCTTTGTCATCACTCCCTGAAATACCAGGGGGAGAGATGAGTTACCTAGCTGTAAGTAAATTGCCCTTCAAGAGCATGCTCAAATACAACTCTGATACATGAAGATTGGACCTTCCTTGCCTGCATTCCCTTTATAAAGATGACAACTTGAGTATGTGTTTACAAGTACTATTGCTACTAGTGCCCACTTCTCATCCAGAGCTGACTTCTCTACATTTTAAATGCAGAATTCCTGGTCAGAAAAGTAACACTGGTGTGAAGTTCCTGTAAAACTTGCTTTTGTAGGAAAGCTATCCAGACTGCCTTGTGCAGGAAGTAAGTTGGTCTGTAAGCCAAACCTGCTCTGCTAACACACCTTACAAACTGCTTTCTCTTCCATGTAATAGGCAGCATGGGTACTGCCTCCAAAACATTATAATGATACATAAATTGATAGAATCCTTCTTGCTTTCTTTTAGTCTGGCAGGAATTGAACACAAGTATGAGAAACAGAAGGGTAAATCTCAGACGGCAGCCCTCTGAGATCTGTTGCACAACCCTCAGTGTGGGTTTGCATGTGCCAGATCACTTGGGCTTGGAGATATGTAGATATAACAACACCTGTAGGGTGCACAGCACTTCCTCCTTGTGCTCTGCAACATAGGGACAAAGGATGGTACATGCTGTTTGCTCCTCAGTTCCACCTCAACCAAAATGCTAAGTTTTTTATGCAATTCTGAAGAAGGGGAGGAGGTTGCAATGCAGATGTGTGCATGGACAGCTCAAGAGCTAGTAAACATCTTACAAGTGACTCATCTATATGCACAGCCTTGCTGTGAGTGACTTAAATCAGTGTCCCTCCTACTAAGAAGGGACTGTGGGTGGTGGTCAGAGTCCCCATGGCAAACAGACTGAAAACCTTGCCAAATGTTCCTTCTGCTCAAGAAGCTTCTGTGGTGGTATAATGCAGAAGTGCTCAACCCCTGGTTCACTGAGTAGTAGGGACATTGTTCCCCTGCTGCCAAATTTCCAGGCCTGTGGGGAGCCCTGCACACTAGACTGGGTGTCCAGTCCTACTCTGCAAGACCAGGTGTTGGCATAGGCCTCCATGCCAGATCGGGGGGGGGGGGGCAGAAAACTTACAGCTTCCCCATTCCTTGCTGGGGTTTTTCCCACTATAAAAGGTT